TGGGCCCCTGCACAAGTACTCCCTCAACACAAGAACACTTTGTTTTAACAATTATGCAGTCTGAGATGCTCACCTGCCTGGCACGATTGCTGAAGACAATGGGTGCACAAGCAAATGTGGTGAAGAAAGTGGATGGTGCTCGGCTACAAAGGATATAACACCTGAAGTCACTGAAAACAATGGGTGCACAAGCAAATGTGGTGAAGAAAGCTGATGGTGCCCAGCTACCAAAAAAAGATTAGCTTTATTTTTTAAATCATTTTATTGGGGGCTCATACAATTCTTATCACAATCCATACATACATCCATTGTGTCAAGCACATTTGTACATTTGTTGCCATCATCATTCTCAAAACATTGACTTTCTACTTGAGCCCTTAATAACAGCTCCTCATTTTCCCCCTCCTTCCCTAGTACCTTCTCCCTTATGAACCCTTCCTAATTCATAAATTATTATTTTGTCATATCTTACACTGTCTGACATCTCCCTTCACCCACTTTTCTGTTGTCCATCCCCCAGGGAGAAGGTTATATGTAGATCCTTCTAATTGGTTCCCCTGCCACAAACTTTTTGAAGACCCCTGATAGATAGCTATATTGTAAATAAACTCTTTTCAGCCAGGTGTGCCATAATATTTGCATGAAATGAAAACACAGCTAACAAAAACTAATAAGGCTCATCAAGTGTGGGTAGCTTCATGAGTTTGCAAAAGATACTAAAGACCAAAGCAAACACTTGATTGATGACCATGAGACCTAATTGATAAAATGCAATTGCTAGAAAAGAATCAAGCACTTGCTGTGCCTTTTCCATGTGAACTCCACCAGGAGGAACCATTGCAGGGAGAACCTTGCCTTCATGGAAGCAGTCCAGCAAGTAGGTGAAGAAGAAATGATGACCAAGTATCACCATGCTGCAAACCAAACCCAAACCAAACTCATGGTCCCTGAGGTGATTCTGACTCAGGGTGACCCTGTAGGACAGAGTATACAACTGCCTATTTGGGCTTCTGAGGCTGAACATCTTTCTGGGAGCAAAAAGCTTCATCGTTCTCCCACAGAAGGCGGGTTTGAACGGCCACACTTGTGATTAGTAGCCCAACACAAAAATCCACTGCACTACCAGTGTCCCTCATGTTGCAAACTCTAGTGAACTAATGAGTCAGACTTGAAGCATACATGGCTGCCAGCACAAAAAACGAACATGATATGCCCCCTGATGGGAGGATATATACTATCTCCTAGAATAAGGTGACCAGATTTAAAGCAGGACACCATTGACTGGGGGGTGGGGGTGGGGTTCTTGATTAAAAATTTGGTCTATATGGACCAAATAGACCATTCCCTAGCTTGTCGTGGATTCTTTCCAAAAATCGGGACTTTTTCAAAACACCAACAATCAGGACTGTCCCGCCAAAAGCAGGACGTCTGGTCACCTTATCCTAGAACACAGTTTTGTCAATCTGATCAAACGTCTGATCCAGCTACCAATTCATGGATCAAGAAAGCAGAGCAACATGTTAGACCAAGAGAGAGTGAAAAAAAATGTAACATTTCCAAGATAATAATTAAGCAATTTTTATCACATTTTTATGTGAAATAATAGTATTGGGGCTGTGGCTTTTTGAAGAACTCTTATATTTTAGAAGTGCCTACAGAAAAATTTTAGGTGAAATAATATGATGCCTGGCATTTGCATCAAAGTAGGGACAAAAAGTAGGGCAGTGGTTCGTGTACACATAAAACAAAACAGCCTTGTGCCAATCACTGCTGAAGTTGAATAATGGGTACATGGAAGTTCATTATACCATGTGGTCCACTTGTGTATGTATTTGAAATTTTTCATAGAAAAATTTTCATTTAAATTACTGAAGAAAAAAAAATCGAAACCAAACCCACTGCCATTGAGTCAATGCTGACTCACAGTGACCTCCTGTGGGTGTCCAAGACTGTAACTGTTTATGGAAGCAGAGAGCCCAGTCTACCTCCTCAGAGGTGCTGTCGGTTTCGAACTGCCTACCATGCGGATCACAACCCAATGCAAAACCACTATACCATCAGGGATCCAAATTATTTTCTGTGTATTCTTGTCCCAAGAGTCAGCTGCTCTCCCCACCCCTTGGGAATCATTATCCTAGGGCATTCTCTACATTGCAGATACCCTGAGGAATAATACCTTAATAATTCATTAATATCTTTTTTATAAACTAATATAGATTGCCTTTACTCCTGAAACTACTGAGCATGTGAGAAAAAGGCTGGGAAAAAGCTGGAGGGAGGGGACAGGACGGGCTGAAAATGGGGAGAAGAAGAGAGACAGAAACATGCCGTGCTTGCAGTCTACCTGGGACCTCCTTGGTGTGTATTTATGGACGTATATTTTCTTCATGTCAGTTTTATTCAAAGAATTTTCATTCTAGGTTTTTTGTTTTTTTCCAGTTTGAATCCTGAGTTCTTGGACAACCATTTCACGAAAGGTCCCCTTTTTAATTTATCAGAGACTCATAGAAGTATTTTCAAGAGAAGATGAGACTGCTTGGGTGGGGGTTAAGGTGAATTTTTGCTTGGATTTCACACCTACCCAGAGATGTGGAACAAGGATGTGGGACCCAGGAGAGAACACGGGGTCTCTTCGAGCGCCAGGGAGCTTATCTTTTTATAGAAGGTCTCTGGAAGAGCACTGGCGCTTGGGAAGGTGGTTGCCTCTAAGGAGGGAAGCTGGGGCACTTGGGATAGGTTTGGAAGAGGGGGTGGGGGACTGTGGCTCTTTATTGTTATATATACATTACTCTGTGGTTGGTGCCTTAAAATAGATGATAACATTCTGCAAACAACAGTTTGTTGACTTAAGTGACTGTACATTTTATCTCAAAATTAGAAGGCAGATGTCTGTTTGTTCATGGGTTCTTTGGCTGGGCCTGTGCTGGCACCACCCACTCTGTTTGCATATTTTCTTGATAGGCACTTTCCCAGTCCCAGCTGCCCTGAGTCTAACAAGGAGTCCCGATCACTAGAACCTATCGGAATAGGTTATTCCATGTCTCATGACAACTTCCCACAAGTGTACCATGGTTCTGGGCAAAGGTTACATTTTTCATAGAAGCGCCCAAGAGCCTCTGGTTTTTACCTTAAAGCCTCTGACTCATGTTGCAGCTCATGGCTTGTTGTTGTCAGTTGCCATTGAGTTGATCTGATCCGTGGCAGTCCATGTGAGTAGACTAGAATTGCTCTGTGGGGTTTTCAAGGCTACGAGGGCCTTTTAAGAAGCAGAGGCCTTTGGGATGGGTTCGAGCTGCCTACCTTTCAGCAACTAGTCCAGTATTGAAACCATGCCCCACCCACCTAGGGACTTCTAGTCTATGAATGAACACTTCAAAAACAAAACCATGATATTACACGTTCCTAATAGGAAAACATTTGGTCATTATGTTTATCCAGTAGTCCCCCCAAATCCTGAACCAATCTGCCTGTCAATGAGTATCAAGTCCAGTTCTGTGTTTTTGGTTTTTCCCTCTTTTTTATTTGTGTATTTGGGTTATTTACATGACGTAAAAGACATCTATTGTAAGTGTGGTTGAATGAGTTTTGGTTACAAGGTGTAGCAGCCATGGGGATCAAGACTTAGAACAGTCCCTTCATCCTTGGGGCATCTCCAGGAGCCCTGGGGACTGGGCGGTTACATGCTGGGCTGCCAACCACAAGTTGGACAGTTGGAAATCGCCGGCAGTGCCAAGGGAGAAAGCCTGCTCCCATCCACAGTGAGAGTCTTGGAAACCCACAGAGGAAGTTCTACCCGGTCCTACAGGGTCACTGTGAGTCGGCATGACTTGATGGCAGTGTTGCCTGAGTCCAGTTTTGAGACATTAGGTTGAGTCCTATGGTCTTAGGAGTCACTTTGCCTCTGGATGCCTTTCTGCTGTTTTAAATGACGGACGTGGGACTAGATTTATTTCCAGGGTCTCTTGCAATACCACTAGGAAATGCAAGGTGGGCTGGGACGTCTCAGTCTCGTCTTGTAGGTTGCCGTAGAATCCAGTGACTGAGCCCAGGTGTGCCAGGGTAGAACTGTGCTTCAAGGCGCATGAGGCCTGTCTTCTGAGACGCGTCTGGGTTCCAGCTGGCAACCATTGACACCTGGGAGTGAACCAGAGGCTGAGCCTACTGGGTAAAAACCGGTGGTCTCATCAAACACTGGTTTTCAATTCCTCCCTTGCTAGCATGTAATATTTTCTAAGAATCCATTTCCTCGTCTGCAAAAACAGCGCATATTTGCGTCTTCCTATGGGATAAAGTGAGATATAGTCAAACACCAACAACTAACCCACTGCCACCGAGTGGCTCCCGACTCACCGCGATGCACCTCTCAGAATAAAACCCCATGGCCATCGAGCTGATTTCTCTCGTTGCAGCTGGTGATTTAGAACTGCTGACCTTGCAGCTAGCCCAATGGTAACCCACGACTACCAGGGCGCTTGAGCGATGTAACAAACACCTTTAAATATTGGTTGGCGTTTTTTTAAATATGTAATGTTGCCGAACTCATTTATATTTGCTACTACATAGTTCCGCAGGCCGATTCCTCCAATCAAAACAGAAACCAAAAAAAGTCATCACATTCACATTGCCCACAGACCCGAAGGGCACACGGCCAAAGTTCTGCGAGTGTGCATGAGTCAGAATTGACTGGATGGCAGTGAGTGTGAGTGTGTGTGTGTGTCTGTGTACACGCATCGCGGGAGAAAGACAAGGCTTTCTACTCCCGCCAATAGCTCCAGTCTCTGAAACCCACACGGAAGCACTTCCCTGTTCCGTAGAATCGCTGAGACGCGGAGCGACTCCGTGGCGGAGCGTTTGGCTTTTGGACGTGTGCGCAGCATGTCCTTCCAAGAAGCCTCGGCAGGGGGCAGAATCGGGACCAGGAAGTTCTAACGCCTGACGTAAAACACGACGTGAAGCGGCTCTGCTTTATGGCACACTCCGCCGTAAAGCGCCCTCTGGCAGTCCACATGGGTCTGTTGGCGGAGCATCTTTCTTGTTAAAAACCCTAGATTTGGAGGTACACAGAACTTGACACTTTTGCTATGGGCAAGCGCGGGACCCGGAGCCAGAGCCAGCTGCTTAACACACTGACGAAAAAGCAGAAGAAGCACCTTCGGGATTTCGGCGAGGAGCATCCCTTCTACGACAGGTACTGGAGGAGGAGCCGAGGCCCCAACTGCGTTTGCCGGGAGTTAGCCCGAGTTTCCCCGTTGGTGGTCCGCCGGCCTCCCGGGATGGAGACGCCTGTCCCCGCTTATCCTTATCCACGTCTCGGCTGGCGGGGGCCTTAGGTGGCACCCCGCCGGGAAATGGGTTTCCTTGAGTCTACCTACCCAAGTAACTGTGCTAGGCACGCCCACTTTTGTGTGAACTGCATTCTGTAAGGTCAGTGATCATCGGAAGTTGCTTTTGTTTTTAGTGCTTTTAAAATTCTTGTTGAGAGACCCAGTTAAGCGTTGGGCTGCTAACTGCTATGTCGGCGCTTCAAACCTACGTAAACTAGTCGCCATGTGGTGTTCAGGGGGTGGGGGAGGAGATGAAGCTCTTTGCACTCTAAGATCTCTGAAGCCCTTGAGTCTTGCTGTGAGTTGCAGTTAACTCTATGGCAGTGGGTTTTGGGTTCAACATAATTTTGATCGACTTGACTCCAATGGGAAAACGGATATGGCAGATCCAGGCTATGTGTTTGGTAGTTGTGGGTAATTGCCCACAGTCAGGGTCTGAGTTCACAGTCCACCATTCTGGCTGCGTGGGGTTATTATTAGTCAGAGCTGACTTGAGGGCACCTATCAACAACAAAACAAACATTTGCTCAATGGTGGTATTTTGAATGAAAACCAGTTATTGATTAAGATAATGGCAGCCATAGTTGCTTTAGACGTTTTGTTTGTCAGTTATCATCCATTGGTCACAGTTCTTTCACTGGAGCCCAAGTGCCTATGTGGTTTTTACATGATTATAATTACAGTGTATTTATCATGGTATATTCAACTTTTTTCACGTAAAGTTATCACATTTTCCCCCAATAGCCAATCGTAGTTATTAGAGTTTAACACTATTCCTTTCTTTTCAGGGTTTCGAGAAAGGAAGTAAAACCACAGATCTGTCACTTGGTAATACTTTATTGCATCTTTATCATTGTGGGTTCTGAGTTGGTTACTTTTAGGAGTATATATAGGAGTAACGTCTACATTTCACTTCTTTTTCCGTTTTATGTATAAGGTATTATTTTAGTAATATTGCTTAGTGTGGAAGGTCAGTGCCTATGAAACTATCAGTATGATAACTCATACGGAGGCCAGGATTTAAATGTGTCCAGGCGGCTTCTAAGGGGGAGTTCTTGTTTCCTTGGCATGAAAGGAGGCTCATGTAGAGTACAGAAAGAACAAAGGTCTTATCTCATTACAACAGACGGCGGTCCTTGGTTTTCTTATAATTTCCCTTGCCCCTTTAAACAAGGCCTGTCTTTGTCTGGGGCATAGGTTAAATCTCATAATCTAAAGTTCTGTCTTAAAAAGTCACTGCCCTTCCCACACGGCACATTAATCATTTGGAAATGAAGAACTAGTACAGCTGTAACTAGATTGGCTATTTTAAGGTAATTTCATGCAGTACTTGGTTGGGTAGCTAAGATTGCATGGTATTGGCAGAACATTTTAATGTTGAGTTCAGAGAGTGAATCTTTACTCGGTTGGCCTGGTAATAGACATATGATGACAAAGAGAACAGTAGAGTTTTTGTTTTTAAAATTGCCTTTTTCCTTTTAGCCAGAGAGTTCGGATACTTCAAATTCGGAAAGTGAAGCAGAGAGTGAACCAGAACAAGTTTCTGGGTACCGTAAACTGCTTGCTACCTTAAAGAATGTCTCTGAGGAGGAAGAGGAAGAAGAGGAGGAGGACGAGGAGGAGGAGGAAGAAACTGGACATGAAGAGTCAGAAATGAGCGATGAAGGCGATGATGGTGACACCAGTGTGGAAGAAGAGGTAGCGGCAGTGTCTGCTGAACTTGAGGAAAGTAAGTGTCGTTGGCGCGGGCTCTCTTTGCTAGGACCACACAGACAGTGACCCCAGGGGTCCTGTGCCCCGTACCACGTGAGCTGGATGAGAGCACGAGTAGTATATCGCCAAGATTCTTAATGTTAGATTCAATGACGCCCTTGAGAATCTACTGAAAACTCTCAGAAAGATGTAAAGACATTTTTGCTTAGGATTGCAGTGAGTCCAGTGATCCAAATGTTCGTCTGGTAGAGTAAGAGGAACATTGTTTTATCTTTGTGACTTGCTCTATTTATTGACAACCCTTAGGGAGAGCAACTTACAGAAACAAAAAACCAATTCACTAGCATAGCGTATATTCCGACTCAAGCACCCTTTCGGAGAGGGTAGAACTGCCCATGTGAGTTTCTGAGGCTGTCACTCTTTACAAGAGAAGCAAACCTCATCTTTCCCCTGAAGAGTGGCTCGTGGTTTCAAACTGCTGCCTATTGCTTTGCCAGTGCTCCTCTAAGTTTAATGAGAGATAGACATGAAAATAGACATTTTCAAGTAGCTGATTTGTATGGAACAGCTACCTGTAAGGTGTTGAAGATCTTCCGAGTGATAACACACCTCCAGGGTGCATTATGAGTCTTAAGCATTTGAGGCTAATAGAGCATAGAGGCTAATGTAGATAAAATGTAATCACTTCAGTGTTTTTAGACAAGGATCTGTCCTTGCTGTTACTGCCTGACACTGAGTTTATTAAGTTTATTCAGACTCACAGCAACCAAAGAGACCGAGTAGACAGGCCCTAAGGGGGTGTGCCTTATCTTACCAACTGCCACTTGGTTGGCTCTGACCTTAAGTTTGGTTTTATGATCTGTGTGGGAGGACAGACTCATCTTTCTGCTGCCACGTGGCTTATCCTGCAGGGCCACTAGGGTTCCTTTAGGGCCTCTTCAGCTCGAATGTTCTTGGTAGCAGGGCGACAGGTCTTTTCTGCAGAGCGGCTCGGGGGTACAAAATGCCCACCTTTTGGTTAGCAGCTCAGCGCTTAATTATTGTACCCTCTGGCCTCCTTAAATTGGAGGCCAGGTGATGCAAGAGTGCTACTAAAATCAAGCTGTAGAACACTTCTTTTCCTGTCCAAATATCCCTTCCTGTCCCTTTGCTGTCAGTTGCCTACTCTGGCATCAGATAATCACTGTAGGTTTGTGTTGGCCGGACTCGAATTTCATGTCAGTGGAATCACATAGGAGGCCACATCCTATTGCATCTTGTTTCTCTTGCTAATCTTGCATTTGTGACTCATCATGTTGTTGTTTGTCTGCTGCATGTTCATTTCTTTTCATTGTTATAGTTGTATTCCCTTGTCTGGATATATCCAGGTGACTCTTGACTCCTCACTCTCTTTGTGCTTATTTTCCATAGAGCCTGTAGTTACTGATGCTTCTTCATTTGCCAATGCTTTAAGGTATCTTGTATGTCTCTTAATATTCTCACTGGTCAGTTTTGTTTGTTTTTTTACCAGGATGAAATTTGATTGCCTCAGAATAAGGTTGTTTTGTTTTGTTTTCCTTAATCATTTTATTGGAGGGCTGTTACAAATCTTATAGCACACTTGTACATATGTTGCCATCAACATTTCTAAAACATTTCTTTCTACTTGAGCCCTTGGTATCAGCTCCTCTTTTTCCTCCTCACACCCTTGTGAATCGTTAATCAATTATATAATATTGTTTTTATTTTGTGTCTTACACTGTCGGTTGTCTCCCTTCACCCTCATTTCTGTTACTCATCCCCCTGGGGATTGGGCTATATATCCAGCCTTGTGATGGGTACTGCCCGCCCCCGCCCCCCGCCAGCCTCCACTACCCCCCTACCCTCGTGATATCAATACTCCCACTACTGTTCCTGGGGGTTTATCTGTCCTGAATTCCACGTGTCGAAAGCTCTTATCTATATCAATGTGTGTACGCCGGTCTAGCCGGATTTGTAAGGTAGAACTGGGTCATGGGGGGGACATTCAGGAACTAGAGGAATGATGTCTGTTTTATTGGTGCTATCCTGTATCCTGGTTGAATCCTCCCTTCCTTGTAACCCTTCTGTGGGGGGGATGTCTAATTGTCTACAGATGGGCTTTGGGTCTCCACTGCAACCCCTCTCTTTTACATCGATATAATTGTTTTGGATATTTTGATACCGGATCCCTTCAATACCTCACGATCACACAGGCTGTGTGGTTCTTCCAGGTGGGCTTACTTGCTTCCCTGCTAGGTGGCTGCTTATTTAATTTCAAGCCTTTAAGACCCCAGATACTATATCTCTCTTGATAGCTGGGCACCGTCTACTTTCTTCACCCATTTTGTCTTCAGTGATCGTGTTGGGAAGGTGAGTATCAAGGAGTACCAGGTTATTAGAACAAAGTGTTCTTGTGTTTAGGGAGGCCTTGAGTAGATGCCCAAAGTCTTGTCTGTTAATACTTAACATATGTAACATATGTTATCATATATGTGCATTAGTCTCTATCCCGTTCATTATAAATTAATATGTTTACATATATACGTGCATTTAGCTATACCTTTATAAATAGGTTTCACCTCCTACTTCTTTCTTCTATTTCCTATCACCTTCCTTCTGTCCCATTATCATGCTCACCCTCCATTTGGATCTTAGTAATTCCTCTCGGATACATTGCACTTGATCAAACCCCACCAGGCATTATACCTCGTGTTTGCCATCAATTTTAGATCTCTTGTTGTTCCCTTATCCCTGAGTTTATTGGCTCCCCACTCCCTCTCCCCTGCCCTCTCCTCTCCCATGTAACCCCAGGACCACCAGTCTGTTGTTTTCTCCTGGGATTGTTTATCCTATCTTATATCGATACAGGGCGAATGAGAAAAAAACGATAGATAGTTCCAGATCTGGCTCCTGACCCTTATGAGCTTTTTCTAATCAGTCTGATAAGGTGCTAACCCCTGTCCCCTGAGTCAGAAGTCTATTTTCAGGATTCCTTGGGGACTTGGTTACTTTGCTTCCCTTGCTGCCCTGTTGCACTCCCTTCTAGTTTCAGCCTGCTGTGCGTGGGGCAGACTAGGCACACTTTCCACGGTGTCTCCAGTGCTGTCCGCTATAGCACTATGGGTCAGTGAGGGAATGTTGTGTCTCATGGTGGGGCCGGCCCTACTCTGTGCACTGGCTGATCTGAGCAGCAATGTCATCCCTGGACCATGATGAGGTCCACTCTCTTTCTCTCTTAGTTTGCACCCGTGTGCTCTGGACAGACCTGCCACTTTCCCCGGGCTATAGCTTCAGTGCTGTCTTTTGTATTACATTCAGAATAAGTTTTGTTTGTGGTTTGTTTTGTATCTTTCTTTACTTTTTTAGAACTTAAAAAAAAATGAGTTGATTTCTTTCAAATTGTCAAAGTGAACCAAAAACCAACTCGTTGCCCTTGAATTGATACTGACTTCTAGTGACTTCAAAATGAAGCACCGAGACAGACTGGAACTGCCCCGGTGGGTTTGTGAGACTATAACTTTACGGGACTAGAAAGCCTCATCTTTCTCTCAAGGGGCGACTGGTAGGTTTGAATTACTTACAGTCAGCAGCCCAATGCATAGCCACTTATATTTCCTTAGAAAACTTAATATAATTGTCAGCCTATAGCGTTAAACATCTCTAACATTTTATATAACCTTTGCGACTGCTTTTTTCATGAACATGCTTGTGAATTTAAGTGTGTATATATATATATATTTGCTTATATGTGTATACTGACCTCTGTACGTATTTGTAATAAAATGACATGGATCTTTTCACATCACTTCTGAAGTGCTTCGTATTCCACTGGAAATGGTAGGTAGTACTTTATTTCATTTGTAATCAATGGAAAGGCTATTTGTTGTCCCCAGCTATTTCTAGTCACAATCAGACTGCTTTGAACATCCAAATATCCATACATCTTGGTGTATGTTGTCTTGTCCAGGTATTATCCTGGAATAACTTCCTAAAATTAGAACCAGGTCACAGGGTCAGGTTTACTTTTGAAAATCCTGAAGACTGCTCACCTAAACATTCTTCAGAATTAAACACCAATGGCAATGAGTATCACTGTTGACATAGGCTTGGGAATTTGATTTGTCAACAGAAACAATTAAATTGTTAAGTTAAGTATTCTTACATAATGTTTCTCAAAATTGCAGATAAAGCCTTATCTACTGATGCTGAAGAAAAAGCGGGGGAAGGGCCATCTGACTCATCCAAACAAGAATCCCCAGAGGAGTTCACAGATGCAAAACACGAGTCACGGTTCAGCCTGGAAACCAATTTTCTGGAGGAAGAAAGTGGAGGCAACTGTCCTCTGAAAGCATCACAAGGTTGGAGCACAGAATGTGTTTGAATTCACCAGGTGTTCCGTACAGGTGTGGGCCCTAAGACACACTGTAGCTCCTGGTATTCAGATGAGCAGGATTGGGCCTAGAGCACTTTGCAGCTCTGTCTAGAGCTCAGAGAAGAGTTGCGGCTCATAGCTGTTTTGTGTTTCTCGTTGGTTGAGCACTGTTGGGCACTAAGTTCAAGAGAAGGAACAGCAGAAGAACGGGAGTGGGGAAGGCCAAGTCCCCAGGCCTCGGATTCCTGTAATTGGGCTCGGGAAGAAACTTTTGCGTTTGTCTCTTCAAGGAAAGAACTAGAAGACTACTTTCCATTGCTCTTTCTAACGTGTGTGTGTGTGTGTGTGTGTGTGTGTGTTTTCCAAATGAAACCCATCTCCACCAAGTCCCTCTAACTCATCCCAACCAGTACGGTAGAGTAGAACTGTCCCACAGGGCTGCTGTCTCAGAGACCCTGGGCACGGCTGTTACCCATCAGGATGAACTTGATGGCAGTGGATTTCTGGTTTTGGAATCATGACAGAAACAGACCGCGATATCTTTCTCCTGCAGGAGTGACTAAGGGGTTTGAAGCACAGACCTTGCACTTGGCAGCCAAGCGCTTGATGACTGCATCCCCAGGGCTCCTTCCTGTGCTGGGATAGAGAGGGGAAAGGTAGATGGGGAAAGGATGAGTTGGTGGGCACAGCAAGTCCCTTACTGGGGAAGAACAGACATGCCCTGCCGTGTGCTCTCTGTGTTCTGACATTCTTTATTTCTGCATCAGATCCATTTTTCCAGCACGTGAGCAGAGAACTGAAAGAGAAGGAAATCCAGGCTGTTGCCACAAATCCCAAAACTTCCCAACAACTGAAAGTAAGTACTGCCTGCTCACCCTAATCGCACCTGGAGAAGAGCTCTGAGTTAAAGAAGAAACAGTAGCGGGTTTTGGTCACCTCCTCAAAGGTGAGCCCGACACTGGTGACACACTGCTTGATCCGGGCAGGACATCGGAAGGCTCGGAGGGGCGCAGGAACAGCTAAAAGTGGCACTAGGAAGCTGCAGGGGTGGGTACAGTGGCATTTAGACTGCTGTCTGGAGACAGGTTTACCAGGGGTTAGCCCGGCATCCACAGTTGGCTTTCACATGACCTAAGACAACTTAACCAGCCTCTCAGGTCTTTGTTCTTTATTGTCCGCATCTGTTAAAGGGAGCAGTGATACCTACTTCCAAATAAAGCAATTTCATTTACTGACTGATCCACAGTAATTGTGCAGGAAAGCAGTAGCTTCTGTTGTTTTGTTTAAAATATCGGAGATAATTGCACAAATGTTTTAAATGACAGGCCAGTCTTTGCTGTTTTGTTTTTCCTAGTGTGGTTACTGTCTCTGAGAGCTGACTGTCCTCTTTTTTTGACAATTTAATAGTGACAGAGCCACATGGAATTGTAAGAAACAGCATCCCTTGTGGCTTTTCCCTGGTTTCCTCGGTTGGGATATCTTGCCACTCTGCAGTACAGCGTCTCAGTCAGGACTGGTCCTTGATACAGTGTGTGCCCTAACTTGGAGTTCCCAGTCCACTCCCGTTCAGTACAGGTTTAGCACGTGCGGACGTCTTTGTGTTTGCCCTCGTACTCAAGATACAGAAACACCCCTCCTGTTGCCCTTTATAACTACGTGCACTCTCCCCCACTCCTCTTGATTTCTATAATTCTGTCATGTCAAAAATAGCATGCAATGCACTCATCCGGCGCGGGCGTCCTGCACTCCGCATATTGCCCTGGAGTGTCACGCGCCTTGTGTGGATCAGTGGCTCATTCCCCTTTATGACAGTGGTCATCCTTTTTCTAGATCCTCATGTAGACTACAATACAAGAATTCTGGAACGAGTATTCCACACAATATTTTCTTTAGGTGTGTTCCCCCAAAAAAGGTACGCATGTGACCATATAAAATCAGCCAGGTGGTGCTTACCAAGGTGGATCGGCCACAAAGCTCCGCTCGCCCCCCCCGATGCGTACTTCCTCTTCCCAGAACATAGTCTTTAAAATTTCAAGAAATACTGACTAAATGGGAAGAGCTCAGCAGCATTGGACTTAAGCCCACAGCTCTGTTCTGTTCTGTGGAAACATTTAGATTCTGTCACCTCCCAGAGCCTCCATTTCGGAATTGTACTAGAAACATCACAGTTTCTAACTTGCAGGGTACTGTGAAGATCAAATAATGAAAAGTCTCCATAAGTTATCAAGCATTACGTGAATGCACGGGTTGGTTGGTTGGTATTACTGGTTTCTAACTTAACTCTTGATCTTTCTCCTCTAGTGGCCCACCCTAGGCCAGGTTGTCTTTTCATCCAAGTTTCAGAAGTTGGAAACATTTAAGCCCCCAAAGGACATTGACTTAAAATCACTTCATCTCCAGAAGCCTCTAGAATCCACCTGGACCAAGACCAATAGCCCGTTCCTATCTGGAGTCCCCAAATCAAGTAGTCCTTTCACTCCCCTCCAGAAAGAGCTTTTCCTGATTATGAATTCTTACCGGGACCTGTTCTACCCAGAGAGGACTGCCTTGAGGAACGGTGAAGAGATCCGCCATGTGTACTGCCTGCACGCCATCAATCACATCCTCAAAGCCAACGGCCGGGTACTGGGCAACAATAGCAGGCGCCGAAGCCAGAAATTCGGAGTGGGTGATGATGATGACTTCAGGGACCAAGGACTCACAAGGCCCAAGGTGAGTGTCAGCCCACTTCTGAAGGATTTGCCACTGGAAACCTAGGACTCACAGGCAGACAGTGTCGGCTGTAGGACCAGCGAAGAGCCTCTCGGTAGGAAAGCACTCAGTAAAGGGCCGGGCAGTGCTCTGTCGAGCCCCCCCGGGTTGCTCTGAGTAGATGGACTCAGTGGCGGGAGTTCTTCGGAGGGGGAGCTGACTGGACAGCATCTAACTGCAGCACCGTACCCTTCCTGATGTCAGGGAGCTCAGTCTTGTTCTCCCCTTTCTTATTCTATGTCTGTCTGTATTGAAGAACTCTCATTTTTTTTATTTAGATTTTTCTCATTGAGCTCAGTAGGATTCTTAGATTTGAGGACTGAAAGGAAGCCCTTTCTTGCTCCAAGCCGAATCATGGCTCGGGCTGTGCAGGTTGCTCTTCTGGGCAGCCACCTCGCGTGTTGAACAACTGTGATGAAGTTCTGTTTCTGTGTAGAACTTCATCAAAGAAGAGGGGGCTGGCCAACAGTGAAGCATGCTGGTGATGCGCCGATATGCTTGACTTATCTGCGATTCTTTCCATTGATCTTGTTTATAAAGGAGATTTGGAAATCAACCACTTAGCAAGCCTTTCCTAGTTTTGTTTGCTACAGTCGCAACTTTTAAGTATTTGTAGAAATGCTTAGAAGCCTCAGTATTAGTCTTTCCATTGAATTACGGTCTTATTTCAGAAATGCTTTATTATAACTTCCGAAAACTGTACTTGGAATATAAAAAAGTAGTGATGCATTAGTATTTTTTCCTTATTTACTGACTTTCTTTCTTATTCATTCACCTGTTTACTCAGCACGTATTTCTTCGGTGGGTCTTAACAGGTGAAATTTTTGTGCGAAGTTCTGTGCGGGGGAAAGAAAGGAGTAACAGCCTTTGGCCCCCAAGAAGCCTGTGGGTTTCTGTCCCCAGGCTACGGCTAGCGTTGGCTTGTTCTAGGAAGTGGTTCCCAAATTTGTTTTTGAGACCTGCTTGTCATAGCGCTAGGGCACTGAGGTGTCTCTCAGCATGATTCTGTGCATGTGCAGGCCTCCATTGGAAGCTTGCAGTGTGGAGCCGGGCTCTCCTGAGCACAGTGGTGGGCTGGAGGAGGCCTTGGCCCTTCTGGCAGCTCACCCACACGTGGGGCAGATGGGCCGCCGCCTCTACCCGCGCCCCTAACAAGGCTGCGCGTGTTCCCTCCACAGGTGCTGGTAGTGGTGCCTTTCCGGGAAGCTGCACTGCGGGTGGTACAGCTCTTCATCAGCCTCCTAGAGGGCGACAGCAAGAAGAAAATCATCGTGAGCAACAAAAAGAGGTTTAAGGGAGAGTATGGCTCCGATCCCGAGGACAGACCACCCAACCTGAAGAGGCCAGAGGACTACGAAGCTGTGTTTGTTGGCAACATCGACGACCACTTCAGGATCGGTAATTCCTCCGAGTCCAAACCAGGAAGCTGTGGGACTGACCTCAGGCGTAAAGCTCCCCCAGCGGTGCTTAGGAATTCCCCCCAAGGGTCACAGACTCGGCCCCCTGAGTAGAGCTAGTGCACATCTGCGACATGTTCTCTACCTGGGGAGAGTCTCTAAGGCTGTATTACAACAGATACTTTTCTTTTCTTAGCCGAGGGGTGGACTGCAGGCAGCTGGTTCTGGAGGAGGAGTGGTTGGGAAGGGAGCAGGTACAAGACCACGTGTAGCAGCCATGCCTCAACCTGGCAGCATGCAGACACTAGAAGGAGATCTTGGGGGAGTTGGAAGAACAAGAGCTGGGTGTGGACACGAGGTGTCCTGCGTCCTGGCTGGTTTCCCTCCTGCCTGCCACAGGGAGAGCCTACCCATGAACCTCTCCCCTGGTCACTCACCAGCTCATGACGTACCCAACTCATGACCCTGGCTGGTCTCTCTCAGCTCCCAGTTACTCCATCGGTACCTACAGAAAGTCACATGCTCATCAGCAAAAAAACCCCGAAAACATTAGTTGAGCACTCACTGTGTTCCAGGTGCTGCCATGCAGCGGGAGCTCTAGAAATAAGCGGTATGGCCCATCTTGTTGGTGAAATCCAGCTGTGTGGGCACAACAGATAGTACAGTGATGATCAGAGGGTGCAGTGGGTATTCCTGGGGCATTGAAAGCCAATTCTTGTATCCAGGTGAGAGCACAACGTGTCGCGAAGGCCTCCAGTGGAAGTGACAGGTGTCAGGATTTGCCCATTAGCAGAGGGGATGATGGAAGTTCGAGGGAAATGTTTTGTGCTGGGAAGCTGCATGGTCTGAGATAGCAGGGAGACTAAACCTGGCACAGCACAAGGGTCACCGTTTTCAGCCAGGCTGGGAAGGAGGAGGGTAAGGGCAGAAAGGGGCAAGAGCTGGTGTTGAGTGGATATGTGCAGGCAGCTAGCACAAGCAGCTGGGCTAGAGTGGAGCGCAGGAAAGGGATGTGGGGTGGCATATAAATTGGTATCACAAGGATGCCAAACCCATGCTTAAGGAACACTTACCAGCAGCTTTATTGGCACCGAATCTAGGCATTAGTGGAGAGAAATTTGGGTCTAGAAAGATGGAGGCCAGGTCAGGGGTAGAAGCAAGAGTGAGTGTCGACGTCTTGGAAACCACCAGTGAACAAGAGAGCGCTTCAAGGAGCGTGGTCAGTATGTCACTTCAGGAGCACCCAGGAGTGCCCGTCGGCTTGGTGACTGAAAGCTGTTGGCCACCTTAGCAGGAGTAACTTCTACAGGGCCCCGAGAATCAGAAGCTAGATCACAGTGTATTGAGAAGTGGCTAGGGTATTTGACAATAATCTGGATAAATTTGGCAGTGAAGAAATGAGTGGGAACTAGAAGGGTCCATGGCACAAGAGGAGGGTGAGGACCATTATCATTGCCATTATTATAGTAGCCATCTGAGCATGGTTTTATGCTGAAGGGAAAAATGGGATGTAGAAGATACAAGAGAGAAGGAGTGATGGCTTGGTAAGTGACGAATGAGCTGATCCGTGCTTCCCCATTTTGTGCAGGAGTTGCAATACTTCAGAGAAGCATCCGGCTCTATGCCCCGTTTTATTCCTCGGACATCCTCATTGCCTCCCCTCTGGGCTTGAGGACCATCATTGGTGGAGAAGGAGAGAAGAAGAGAGATTTTGACTTTCTGTCGTCTATTGAGCTGCTCATCATTGATCAAGTTGATATTTACCTGATGCAGAACTGGGAGCATGTCCTGGTAATGCTGGTCCCTCACAATCCAGATTCACACTAAGGGTGGTAGCAGGCTCAGTGGTTTAAGTTTTAGAGGGCTATTGAAGTCCAGGTTAAAACTGCGTTCACAAACAATTTCTCTTTCAAATTTCAAGACAACCTTGCATCCTTCTTCCCACAAATTGGCCATAGTTGAACAAAACAGATTAAAATGTAGTCTATACTTTAAATCTGCAAAATGAGATTCTTCCCTCAAAGATCTCTTTCTGCTGTTAGTCCACTTTAGTGTGGCTAGCTGATTGGTTAGTTTTAAATTCCCCTTGTTAGAAATGTCTTTTCCTAATTAGGTTAGACCGCTTCTCTCTTGTTCAGTCTCTGTGCGGATGGGAAAACGATGGTTAAGATTTGTTAATGACTGATGGGGTTTTGCAGAGAAATGGAGGGCTGTCTTTATCATCCAACTATAATTTGTTCTCATCTGGTCCTCCCTGTCCCCACACTCTTCAGTGTTGTTGAGACTGAAACAAAACTATGTTTTGACATGGGCCTTATCACAGAACCACAGGTTTCTTCCTAAAAGTGTGCGAAAACCCTCCTTTCCTCCAATCCAGGACTGGAGATGCACATTTGACAAACAGGAGTCCTACTTATTTATAAAGCAGATAACATTTCTAGAATTCATTATCCTTTAGCACGGGGAGACGTCCAAACGTCATGGAAAAATTCCACTATCTTTTAATTTTAGTTTCCCTACAAGCTTTTTGAAGTCCCCTTGGATTTTTTTTTTTAACAGACTGAAACTATAATGAAGATGGGAAACACATGTGGATGATAGGGCTGAATTGCTTAATTGAAGGAAATAGCAGGTGTGATGGTTCTGAGACTGGCCCTCACATGTTGAGAAGCAGCGCCTTGCAGGGCATCAGCTCAGATTTCAACATCATTTCCCTCATGCCCAAGTGTAGGGCTAAGAGACCCATCGGCAGATGATGGTCACATTCAGAATGTCACCTCCTTTTAATGAAGGTTTCCCAGGAGGCATGGAGCAATCCAGGGGGCTGAGAAATCAGTGGAATGTGCTATCCTCATGGTGACCCTGTAAGGCAGGGTACGCGGGCTTCCCAGACTGGCTGTTTATGTGAGTCAGCATCACGTCGATGCAGCCAGTTTGGTTTGGGTTAGACTTTATCCTGGACTATGGGCTATAGTACAAAAGCCGTTTTTTTGTTGTTCCTGAAAAGGGATCAGGTAAGTTTGGAAACCTGTGTTCTAAAGGAACCTTGCTTTTAAAAAGGCAGCCAGTATTTACTGGGAGCTGGTCAGACATGCTCCACGCTCTCAGTGAGACGGTCGACGTGAAGCGTGTTCAAGAAGCCGCTCCTGGAACATGAGCGAGCACTCATGAAAGATTGACGGTAGTGTCGTTTCTGCTCAAAGCACTTGATGAATCACATGAACCTCCTGCCCCTGGACTCACATGGAGTGGACTTCTCCCGAGTTCGGATGTGGAGCCTCAATAACTGGTCCAAGTACTATCGCCAGACATTGCTGTTTGGGGCTCTGCAGGATGCCCAGATCAACTCTGTGTTCAACAAGCACTGTTTGAATTTGCAAGGCCAGGTAGGCTCACCCCTCATTTCCTTTGGGCTTTCCATAAAGCACTGTTTTTTCCTGGGCGATAAAGCCTGTGGTCCTCAGTGGAGTCACCTCATGTTCTCGATGGCTCTTGGCAGGTGGCCGTGAGGCACATCCCGATGACCGGCTCCATCAGCCACGTGCTGGTGCAGCTCCCACATGTCTTCCAAAGGATGGAAGTGGAAAACCTCGCTTCAGTGATTAATGCCAGGTACCTAACCACACACCTCCATAGCCCCATCAGGCGCATGGGCCTAGGAGAGGCATTTGACTTGGACAGACAGAGCTAGAGTAGAAGTCCACATTCGTCTCGTTGTTTGTTATTTACCCAATTGTTGAGAGCGCTGTGCCTGCCCTGCTCTTAGACGGGAAGAAACAGTGACTTGGCCCCAGCCTCATAACCAGCTAGTGCCAGGGTTGGTACTGTAAATCAGGCCTTCTTTCTTGTAGCCTGGGCATTTTAAAATTATATCACCTTGTTTAATGCTACAAAGGGTCTTATGTCAGCAAAGTGTAATCGGCTTTCAAGGGTCAGGCCTATTTCTCTAGATAGCCCCGCACCCCCACCCCCACCCCACCGTTTCCTTATTGTGCTTAGTTAGGGCCACCATACTAGTGGAATGGTGCTTAGTGTATGCTAGAGATTCAGTAATTATTTGTTAGACTGACTGGCGTGTGGTTTTATGCGTCTAGAATAATTCCATGAGATGTAATGGAATGTGTTTTTACGGTGAATACTGGTTTTTAATGTCCTTAGCAGGCCTTATCCTTCAGTTGTCTCTGAGGTAAACCAGATCGTGCCCTGTTTAGTGAGGTAGAGAGAGATTGACTTTTCTTGGGTTACATGGGTTGTGCCAACACTGTTCATTTCTAGACCATTGACTGCCTATTTTCCCCTCCAAAATCAGGTTTAATTTTTTCGTGAACAAGATTCTGCCTCAGTATCGTGATGCAGTCATGTCTCACACACTCATCTATGTCCCCTCCTACTTTGACTTTGTGCGTCTCCGAAATTACTTCACGAAGGAAGAGCTGAACTTCACCCACATCTGCGAGTACACGAAGAAGTCTGCGGTCTCCAGGGCCAGGCACTTCTTCCTGCAAGGAGCGCGGCAGTTTCTGCTGCTCACAGAGCGGTTCCATTTCTACAAGAGGTAAAGGAGCTGGGCGCCAGCCTGCTTTCAGGACGGGCAAATGTGGTGCTCAGTGTGGCCTGCGTCACTCCACGGGGGAGGCTGGAGGGCGGTATGTGGCTCCCCTCCCCCGCTCACACAGCGGGCCGAAGCTTGGCGTGTACTGCAGACTTCTCGGAGGTTAGTAAGTGCTGTGGTAGTTTGGCTTCCTTCCCAGTAGACGTTGCTGAGAAATGATATCCTGTGCGTACAGATGGTATGTACTTGGGGTTCTTTGTTTTGTTTATTTTGTAACCATGGATTTAGTAAGGAAGTTAACAGGTTATGGTTCAGAATCAGATGCTAAAGACACAGTTCTTCAGTCTGCAGTGCACTTCTCAGCTGTGTCTGCAGGCATGCCGCTCTGGCATGACTTGGAGTTTTGGTCCAAATTTCCCCCCACACTTTCCAGGGCCTTCTAATGGGATCCTCTTCTGAGCAGTTGGTAGTGGTAGCAGGGCTCCGTTTAGTTCTTTAGGGTTGTGGAGACTGGTGTCTGTGTGCTCCATTAGTCCAAGTCAGGGGTTCTCAAACTTTTTAAACGGGGCCAGTCCACTGTCCCTCAGACCCGTTGTAGGGCCGGACTATAGTTTAAAACAAACTATGAACAAATTCCTATGCACACTGCACATATCTTATTTTGAAGTCAAAAAACAAACGGGGCAAAAACACCTGGCGGGCCGGATAAATGTCCTCGGCGGCTGCATGTGGCCCGTGGGCCGTAGTGTGAGGACCCCTGGTCCAAGTCATATAAGAGACCAGGCATCTTTGGTATGTTAGAATACTCAACCATTTAAGATTAAGAGGGCAGCACTGACCCAGCGACAAAGTTTCCTTATGCCGTTCGGGGTTTGGCTCTGGACAGGGAGAGACCAGTGGTTGCACCGTGCTGTGAGCTTTTTCTTGGACTGTGTTATGCCGGGAGACTTGGGTGTTCTGTACGTAGAATACATTGCATAGCTCCGGGTGCCGACTTCACATGACAGACAGACATCGCTGACTTGAATCTCTTTAAAGAGGGACAGCTCAACAGATTCTGAAATTGGTGGGGCCTGTCTGATAGTGAGGGCAAGAGTAGCAGAGGTTGTGTGGTCTGGCAGGATGGCTGCTGAGCTCAGTGTGTGTGTTCCCACAGTTGCAGTGTGTCCCGTGAGGTGCACACGTGACTGACTGTTCCTTTAACAAAGGGAACCAGGACTGAGGGGCAGAATGACATTATCAGAAGGCTAGAAATGAAGAATTTAAGAGTTGACTGTTGATGTGTTTCAATGTGTAGGAGGCCTGGTGGCATAGTGCTTATGCATTGGGCTGCAATCCTCATGGTCAGCAGTTCAAAGCCACCAGCAGCTCTGTGGGAGAAAGACTGGGCTCTCTTCTCCTGTAAAAAGGTGCAGTCTTGGAAGTGCACAGGGGTCACTGTGAGTCAGCACTGACTCCATGGCAGGGAGTTTGGTGTGGGTTGGCTCACCACTTTGTGAACCTGACAGAATAAATCCACTTGGCCTTCTTTTTCTTAACTTTAGTTGGCGTTTCAGTAATATTGAACCCTCTGTTACTGATTAGGTTAATTGAAGCTTTTGTGGCCCTTAATCACACCATTTGTTTTTGTTTTTAATTGTAACTTTTTATTGTCAATTAAGTGAAGGATTCCTGAGCAGATCATTAGTTTTCCATTCAACACTTCATACACATTTGATTTCAACTCATCCAGTGCCCACCTTACAATGTGCCACCTTCTCAGTGCTTCCTGTCTTCAATCCTCCTTTTTTCCTAACTACTCTGACCTTTGTCCTTGGGTAAATGCTGCCCCTTTGTTCCTAACTGGTTCATTCTTCTCCCACAGTGGTGAGTTCAGTTCTAGACCTAAAAGGGTGACTGAGTCCCCTTGTATTAGGGGGCCCACGTGTCTTTTTCCAACCAGCAAGCCTGGTCTCCTGTATGACTGAGTTTTGTTCCATCTTGTTCTCCCGCTCTACTCTGAAACCTAATGGGATCCTTTTCAGAGTGGGTGGTAGTGGTAATCAGGCTCCACCTAGTTCTTCAAGTCTCAGGATTGTAGACTGGTGTCCATGTGGGCTGTTAGCCCACTGTGCTAATTAATTCCACGTGCCTTTCCATTCTTATCACTTTTTCCCTCCGGGCAGGGAAAGACTATTGGTTACACCTTGGATGGCTGCTCAAGAGGCTTTAAAACCCAGGTGCTACTCCCCCAAGTAGAATGGAGAGTGTTGTCTGGGTGAGCTATAGAACACCGATCGACATTGGCATCCTCGACACTGTGGAGCTAAACTCCCAGACCAGGGATTAAGTGTGAAGGTGTTGGGTCATGTCTAATTTTGCCTCCTTTGTGCTTTGCCACATTCATGTGTATATTCGCTACAAAGACAAGTAGACATATATAAATATCCTCTTGTCAAATCTGCATATATCTCGGTGTATTCTCCCACCTTCCCTCCCTGACTCGTTCATCCTGCATGTCTGTCCAAGCATCTACTCGTCCATCACCACTATTAGGGGATGGTGCATTAACAGTATTTGCAAGTAACTCAGCAATCGCAAGTGTTTAATTGCTCAGTGTTTCCCCAGTGCCAAATGGAAAAACCTTTGTTTAAGCCCTGACGCTGTAGAAAGCTGTTCTCAACTTCGGCTGTTGTTCAGGGCCGTCCAGTTGGTGCTGACACATAACGACCGTGTACAGCGAACAGAACACTGCCCATCCTGTGCCATCCTCACAGTGGTTGCCATGGTTGAGTCCATTGTTGCAGCCAAGGCGTCATTCCTCCTTTTCCCTGCCCCTCGACTTTACCAAGCATGATCGCCTTCTCCAGTCTGGTCTGTCCTGGCAAAATGTCCAAAGTAGGTGAGACAAAGTCCCCCATCCCTGCCTCTAAGGAGCATTCTGGCCGTACTTCTTCCAAGACAGATTTGCATATTCTTTCCGCAGTCCTTGGTACTTTCAGTATTCTTCAACAGCACCATAGTTCATATGCATCGATTCTTCTCCAGACTTCCTTATTCAAAATACAAGTTTCGCATACGTGTGAGGCAACTGAAAATACCATGACTTGGGTCAGACATACCTCCGTCTTCAAAGCAGCATGCTAGCTTTTCAGCACTTTAAAAAGGTCTTGTGCAGCAGTTTTACCCAATGCAGTGTATCATTTGATCTCTTGAGTGCTCCTTCCTTGAGCATTGATTGAGGACCCAAGGAAGACAAAGTCCTTGACAACTTCAGTCTCTTCTCTGCTTATCGTGATCTAGTAATTGTGAGGACTTGTGTTCCATACTGAAGGCTGCGATCCTTGATTGCAGTCTTAATCTGCAAGTGTCTCAAGGCCCCTCACTATGACACAGTCAGGGTTGTGTCAGCTGCATAATTCAGGGTGCTACTAAGCCTTCCACCAAACCAGATGCCACACTCTTCTTCATATAATCCAGCTTCTCTGATGATTTTCACTGCATACAGATTGATTAAATATGGTGAGAGGAAACAACCCTGACGTACACTTTTCCTGATTTTAAACCATGCAGTAGTTCCTTGTTCTGTTCCCACACTGCCTTTAGGTCCATATACAGATCCACATAAGTGTTCTGGAATTCCAATTTTTCTCAAGACTATCCAAGTTTGTTACGATCCACATAGTGTATCGTAGCATACTTAAATAAATCATAAGCCACAAGTATTCTCTGCTTTCAGCCAAGATCTATCTGACATCAGCAATGATAGCCCTTGTTCCACATCTTCTGAATCCAGCCTGACCCTCTGGCAGCTCCCGGTCAATGTGCTGTAGCTACCATTGTTGGCTGATCTGCAGCAAAAATTTATTTGCATGTGATATTAATGATATTATTCTATAATTTGAGCATTCTGTTGGGTCACCTTTCTTTGGAATGGGTATAAACATTTTTCTCTTCCAGTCAGTTGGCCTAGTAGCTGTGTTCCACATTTCTTGACATCCGCTTGTTGAAACATTCCGGTTGTTACTCCATCAATTCCTGGAGCCCTATTTTTGGCTAACGCTTTCAGTGCAGCTTGAGCTTCTTTCGTACATTGGTTCTTTCTTATGTGCTACTGCTTGAAGTGGCTGTTAACTAGTTCTGTATTTTTTATATCTTTAAATACTTCCTGCATCAGTCAATATTCTGACTTTTATTCCCAGCATAGTAAACCATAAGATTTTCTGATTCAAAATGGCCAATCCCAGTCCATTTCAGTTCACTAACACCTAGAATAACACTCCTTATGTGTTCCATTTCATTTCTGACAACTTGCAACTTTCCTAGATTCATACCAGTACTTCATACATTCAAAGTTCCAATTATTAGATAATGTTTGCCGCTGTTTCATCTCATTTTGATTTGTGCCCTCTCAGTAAATGAAGGTCCGGAAAGCTTTACTCCTAAAGACTTAACCCCATCCCATCATGATGGTCAACTCTTCTTTAAGAAGGAAGCTCTGCGTCAGTCATACTTTGAGTGCTTTCTGGCCTGAGGATCAGAAACTATCTTCGACCATGTTCTCCTTCTATTCTTAAGGTTTCCAGTGGCTAATCCCTCTGAAGTGGACCACCAGTCCTTCTTCGTCCTCTGTTCCTAGTCTGGAAGCTCTGCTGAAACATGCTCCCTTTGGGTGACACTGCTGCTATTTGAATGACCAGTGACCTAGTTTCTAGCATCACAGCGACACACCAGCCACACAGTACGACAAACTGACAGAAGAGTAATGCCTTGTGACATTTAAATTCTTCCTTCACTGTTTCACTAGCTCCCATTCATATACACTAATAAAGTGGGACATATTCTCAAAGAATCCCAAAGAGAGAGCTGGGAAATCTCCAGGCTTTGGAGCATTTAGATGGTCTTTCCTACATGTTCCTCCCAGAACAGCACTTGCTAGACATGTTCTCCCTACCACAATGTGGAGGGCCCGAGAGCTGACCTCCCATGCCTCCTTGGCGTTCTGCTGGCTAGATCTGTGAATG